GTTCTGTTCGAGGCTTGCCTGTCTGGTAATCTCCGTCACGTCCCCCGTCGACCCCACGATCGTGAGCGCCAAGATCTTATCCAGAGCGGTCAGATCTTCATCTACGAAGAACACGCTTCAGGTATTAAACGATGGACCGACGGCGTCACTTGGAGCCCGAGTCGAATCCTCGGGAATTATCTGATCTACCGGGAGCTGGAGAGGCCATTTCCACCCGGCGAGAAGAAGCGCGCCGCAAAGAAGAACAAGAAGCAAACCAACGGCGGCATCTCCAAGAGCGAAGGGTGCCTACGACAGAACACAGGGATGAATGGGACCGCCGCCGGCGCAAATGCCGCGAACTTATCCAGTGCGGGTTCCATGGATCCTTCCGAGGCAGCTAGGAATCCTGAGCGCGCCTTGATCGGATCTCTGGTTGACTCATACCCGTTCAAAGAGGGTGGACTTGTCAAGAAAACGATCAGCGTCCAATTCAGAAGCGTCCCGCATCATCTCGTCTCCTACTATACAGTTCAAGATGTCATGAGCGGCGCCCTCGCCACACCAACATCGCACTCGGGCTTTCTACGGAATATCGTTCCCCGGCCCGAGCTCATTCTCAACCAAAACTTCAGAGCGCCCATCGATGAAGTAGATGTAGACGACAATCGTCTAATACAGCATCCGTTGAGCAGTGCGCATCAGGAGTATGTGAACCACATGCACCCTCCTACCTTCCGGACCTGGTCAGTACCTCACGTCAACATGGCTGTGGCCAACTCGAGACAATGGCCCACCGCCATGGTTCCCGCCCAGCAACAACAAATGCCACCCCCGCAGCATGCGCAGTACCTGCAGACACATCCAGGGGCTATGGCAGCCCCCATGCCCCCACCGAATTACGCACAACCTTCAACGCACCACCAATATGCCTACCAGGACGGTGTCATGCGCCCTCAGGTGACGACGTCTTCGACGCTGGCTCCAGATGTCTACAGAAACATGCTTGTAGACCAGCCACTCTCCCGCCGGCACTCCACGGCCTATGACTTGAGCAACTCGAGCCACGCCATCGGGCTCGCTCAGACGATGACCAACAGCCCAGTGGACCCAATCAGAAACATGAATCATCCCTTCATGCAAGCTACGCCTATCTACGGCAATAGCGGGCGTCTGCAGGAGCCAGTGCAGCATTCGGACGCATTCCCCTCGCCCCGAACACTGCCTCAGCAAGAACCTAGTCTCGATGGCTCTCAGCAGCATTCTGCGAATCTCAAACTGGAAGGAGAAGAATCGCATATGCAGCACAACAATTCTTGGGGCACGTATGATGTAGCGGCTACTCATGATGTGTTCTTGGGTGGCACCAATACTGATCAAAGTCAACCATTTTTGAATCCAGAAGGCGAGGAGGAACAATACGATGAAAATAATCCTCCACCCACTTGGCCGCCAGGTTCCAATAATTCCATGGGGAGACTGTAACCAGTATTGCCTGATTTGGTGGTGTTCGAACAAGGGTTTTGGGTAGTAGATGTATAGAGCGGTACCTAGACGTCGTCGGAATACCCACCACAGAAAAGTGGTCTGGGGCTCAGAATAGGAAGAGGTCTTGTATCCGGATTCTTATGTATCATTCGAAGCCGATTTATCTATGATCGGCGCCCGGCGGCAGCCGCCAGAGCCTAAGGGAACAGAATAGTGTACAGTCAGAAGTATTGACGATTTAATGCAACAAGCATTGACCGAGTCCTTGTCGACATTTGCTGTTCATTTGCGTTGTTCCGTCTTGCTCAGACTTCCATGTACACGCTTCATCCGTCGTACCAACCCTCGGAAGTTCGAGGCCTGTTCCGGTTATTGTTTCGTGTCTGTGGCCTTGTGACGTTAGAACGCAAAGCTCTGGATTTCACCTCCTCATTGTGGGTGAATACAATCGCTACCTGCCTTGCAAGGTATTTGTCAGCATATCTCTTATATACATACTTGCCCACTTCAGAAGCATATATCTATAGCCAGTCGTATCTACTAGGTAGCTGTAATCCGGCATGACACTCTAGACGTTGACATCACCAAGGCGCGAGACGAACTACCGACGGTGAGGCTGCACATACGTCCGCTCATCATTATGTTGCTCCCTCGGCTCGGTTTGTCTGCTATCGGCGGTAGTCGAGCGCTCGTACCCCTGGTTCCTGCCAAAGGCTGGGCATCTAAACGTCTGCACGGTTCTAGAGGCTTGCCATGTTTCCCACTCGCGCGCTACGCCATTCGCCATTCGCTCTCGGTTACCTCACAAAGTCGAAACTATTCACACCAGAAAGACCCCCGTGAACCAAGCCCACAGACGCCAGAAGCTATGTACGTTCAAGCTTATTCGGACCCTACGCCGCAATGCATCCCTGCTAACCTGGCCCGGTGTACGACCGTAGCGACCCAGCCGCAACTGTCTCAGCACCGAGGCCGAGTCTGTCCAAGACACTACACGAGGACATCTACACTATTCCGAACCTTCTGACGCTATCACGTCTCGCCGCCGCGCCCTTTGTCGGGTATTTTATTCTGCAGGACAACCATGCGTGGGCACTCGGTCTTCTCGCCTACTCCGGAGTAACTGACCTGCTCGATGGTTGGATTGCACGCCGCTGGAACCTTACCACAGTCGTGGGCACCATCATCGACCCACTGGCAGACAAGACTCTCATGGCAATATTGACTGTTTCACTGGCCGTGCAAGGCTCGCTTCCAGGTATGTCTCCAGCCAATTATTCATGTTGTAATGCAACGTCTGGGTTTGTTGTCTGACTTGGCGCTCGTTGTCCCAGTCTGGCTTGCCGTTATCATCCTAGGCCGTGATGTCGGCCTAGCTATTGCAGCCATATATTATCGCTGGGTCTCTTTACCGCCTCCGAAAACATTCACCCGGTACTGGGACTTCTCGCTGCCCTCGGCCGAAGTACACCCCACTGCGATCAGCAAGTACAACACGTTCTTGCAGCTGGCTTTGATCGGTCTCACAACAGCGGCTCCTGTCATTGCCCATGACATCTCGGTGCCCTTGACTGCTATGCAGTGAGGAACCATCCAATGTGACACATCAATGAGCAAGGTAGTGACTAACACTGTTTTTAGGTATATCGTTGCCACTACCACGATTTGGAGTGGCGCAAGCTACATATACACCAAAGATGCAGTCAAAATATTGAACGCGCCCAAGCCGTGAACACGGCAGCTGCCAGATCCAAGCCCCCGCTTGCTTTCTCGGCCTCAGGCAGGTCATTAGAATGTCTGAAGAATATTTCTCGGGTTCTTTAATACGCTTGCAAGCCGAGTCATTTGGCTCGAGGATACATCGTGTCCAACAAGAGCGCAGACACCAGCATGGTCTAATAATACAAGCTGCGCCTGTCGATTGATGCTGCGCATCTCTAGCAGGAGACTGCAAGGCCCAGCCTCAAGGCGTGCCTGACGGCTAAATGTACAGTAATGTTATAACAAAAAGCAAGAGTGACAATGACAAGGCACCCTGCTGGCCTCAGAGACTGCGGTGCAGCCATCCTCCTCGGTCCTGTGAAAACAATGGTGTGCTTCTGCAGTGTCGTCGGGCAGACAAGTGGCATTCAAGCATTCAAGGCAGACATGGGTCTTCTCCTGCAGCTCCGCCCTGGCTTTGTGCCAACATAAATCCTTGGTCCGATGTCGAGGTCGACCTGGCTTTACTTTGACGCTGGATGAAGCTTAGAAGGCGGATACAGCCTGAGGGCGTGATGCCCTCGAGCCGTCGAGCTTGGGCGAGGGTTTCTGGTCTTGTCGTCTTGAGAATCTGCTTTTCATGCATGGCAAGCCCGGCGACCTTGTCGTAATCAAGATTTGCTGGGAGGCGCAGTGATTCGTCCCTTGTAAAGTTCCGTCGCTCTGACGTCTGCCTTGCAATCATCGGGGCGTATAAAGCCTCGATTGCAACCCGGGATTTGATTCGCTCAGGGAAACGCTGCACAACTGGCAGCACAGTCGCTATCTCATCCATGGTGACGTTGGGTAGCCGTAGCATCTCGCAGGCGTCACGACGCTGGCTATTTTCCTTCACCTGGAAGCCGTGTCTCATCCACTCTTGTGGTGACTTGACCGCAGACTCCAGGAGAGAGTAGAGTTCATCCACCTGCATCTTTTCGTCTGAGAATGCCCTCCATCTGGCGTCCGATACGACGCCCCAGTCTCGGCCCTTCGCTGTCAATCGGTAGTCTGCATTGTCAGCCCGCGAGGTAAGTCTATATTCACTCCGGGTGGTGAACATGCGGTAGGGCTCCGACACGCCTTTCGTAACAAGATCATCAATCATAACGCCAATGTAGCCGTCGCCTCGGGATAACGAAACGGCCGCCAGACCCTTTGCTGCTCGGCCCGCGTTGATCCCAGCAATAACGCCTTGGCCCGCAGCTTCTTCATATCCAGTCGTGCCGTTGATCTGTCCGGCAAGGTACAGGCCACTGACTGGCTTGGTTTCCAAGGAGGATTTGAGACTGCGTGGATCGATATAGTCATACTCAACGCCGTATCCGACCTGCAACAACTCTGCATTTTCCATACCCTTTATGGACCGGATGATTTGTTCTTGGGCCTCCGGAGGTACAGTCATGGACAGGCCGTTGGGGTACACGACATCGTTGACAAACCCTTCAGGTTCAAGCCAGACGATGTGTCGCTCTTTATCGGAAAAGCGTGTTATCTTGGACTCGAGCGACGGACAGTATCTCGGTCCAAGAACGGTCTCCCGGATGTGGATTGTGTTGCCAAGGTTTGCGCGAACGATGTCGTGTGTAGTTGCGTTTGTGTAAGTCACATAGCAATCAATTTGCTTGTCGGTCGCCACGGTATCGTTCATGTAGCTGAAAGGCGTGGGCGATTGTTCGCCCGGCTGAGGCTGAAGTTCAGAGAAATCGATGCTCTTCCCTGAAATCCGAGGGGGGGTGCCCGTCTTAAGTCGGCCCATGCTGAAGCCTGCATCTCTGAGGGACTTGCTAAGCCCAGTTGTTGCCGCCTCCCCTATCCTCCCGGCTGGGTAGCTTTCCATTCCAATATGGATTTCACCGCTCAGGAAGGTGCCGGTCGTAATGATCACCTGGGTCGTAGGTAGGATTTCGCCCGAGTCGAGCTTGACACCGGTGATGCGACTGTGCGCCCCTATTGTCGGGTCTTCCTGGGGGCAAAGTACTACATCGGAGACACTGCCTAAAATGATCGATAGGTTGGGATACCCTTCGAGCTCCTCCCTCATGTGCTTCTTGTAAAGGTCTCGGTCGATCTGCGCGCGAGGTCCCTAGGCAAAAGATTAGCTGCGGTCGATCCACGGGCTCCTGAAGAGACATTTAGTACTCACCCATACAGCAGGGCCCTTTCTTCGATTCAACGTCTGAAAGTGTATACCGGCCTTGTCGATAACACGGCCTGACAACCCATCGAGGGCATCGAGCTCGCGGATAATCACCCCTTTCCCTATTCCGCCAAAACTGGGGTTGCAAGAACACGTGCCCAGGTTGTCAATCTTCGGTGTGACGAGGGCGGTCTTTGCGCCGGCGCGCGCCGCTGCGGCGCAAGCCTCAGCGCCAGCATGGCCACCCCCGACAACTACCACATCGAAAGATCTAAGGCCGGAGGCGACTGAGGCAAACTGTCGACCGCGGCTCGTTGGCAGGGCGGTAATGCGATGTCGGGCGCTGCGAATATTGTGATGCAGATTCCACAGCTGTTTCGAGGATCTTCCAGAGAGCATCGGGGCGATTGAGGTCGTTGTAGCCTGCACAGATCTAGGGTCAATCGGTGAGCATGGAGAGAAATAATACTTTTGGTCGCATCGCCACAGACCGAAGGCTCAAGTGTCTGTAGCGTGTGGATGCAGGTTATTCGCACGGTCCCCGCACCAACTCCATGCTATATGGTGGTGCCTCTTTGGGGTTCAAGTCTGACATCGAGTGCCTGTCCTAGAAGACTTCACAAAATCAAGTGTGATCATTGCAACAAAGCTTTCCCATTATAAACCCTAGAATATAACATTGACTAAAGATCGACGGAGGAAAAGTGAGCAACCAAAGGGCAGCATGGAAAAGATCCTTCAATGTTATCTTTAACGTAGAGGGCCATTCTTCGTCGCTGCCGGCCACAGTGAGACAGCATCTTCAACTTCCTCCAAGAAAGTGGCAGTATTGTGGATCGTGGTGCCTCCCAAGACGACCCTGACGCCAGGAGATGATGCATTAATTGTAGCGATCATCTTAGCCTCTTCGTACGTTGCACCTCCAATCATGAACACGATGATGTCTTGGGGTTTGTCCCGTGTTGTACCCCCGCCCTCTACGAATGGATATTGCTGGTCTTTCAGTTTACCCTTGATCAGATTTTGTAAAGTATTTTCCAGGAGGGGCGTGTGCTGGGTGTAGACGTTTTCAACGCCTTTCAGCCCCTTGAGTCTATCCCTTGCACCTGAGAAGATGCCTGCTGACTCAAAAAGATCTGTGATACCAGTCTGGGCGTGCGACTGCTGAAGTGACGAGTGGTATGCTAATACTTTCCTCACCCTGTCGGCATGACGTGGGGACACATCGCCTGCAGCAACCAGAAGGTCGATCAACATTGGAAGTGCATTCGATGGGTTCTTGTCGTATCTCAGAGCGTAGAGAGCGACCAGTGAAACCTTGTTCTGGGCATTCACATTGGGCGATTGGATCAGATTCTGAACGGTCTGTTGTGCGCTGTCAGCGGCCCAGAGAAGAAGACAATACATAGAACCTTGTGTTGGAGGGGGGTCAGTATGGGGCGTGGTACCTTGAGGTCGGTTGCATGGTTATCACTGCACGCCAGGCTCTGTTCCAATTCGCTGACTTCGAGCAGATTTTCTGCGCCGACGCGACGGCTCAGCTCAGAGACGAGTGTGACGTGTTTGCTCACGTTTCCAGAGAGCTTGCGAAATTCCGGATATTCCTCGATGAACCGCTTCATATCGGATATAGACTCGATGTTGGCGTTGTTCTGTGTCTTGGACTGGTACTGTCCAACGTAATCCTTGATGTTCCCACCAAGGTCGCCGAAGTTCATGTACATATTCTTCTTAAAGAAGGGATCTTGGTCCTGTGACAGAACGATCTCCTTCAATTCTGGCCGGATGTCAGGCACGTCATTCAGGTCGACACGGCCATTGTTGATGCCGAGCAGATGGTGAACCATTGCTTGATATGTCCATTGGGTCAGCAGGGGAGTTATCGGGTCCTCCCGTCGATCAAGCACAAGTAACACAGGTGGTGTATCGACTTTGCGGAAGTCAAACAATTGCTCTTCCTGTGTCATGTGGTATCTCACTTCAGTTGCCAGCTTCCTCGCCGCGAGGCTGTTTTTCGCGTATCGAATCAACGGTTTCTTTTTGAGTGCCAGCAAGACGGCGATGAGACCCGCGGCGCTCTTCTGGAGAGCCTCAGGGTTCCAGGCATCTGCAGCGGCTGACCAGGTTCGCTGTTGTGGAAGAGCAATGCCAAGAGAGAACAGGTCAGGGTTGATGACGATAAAGTCGGCGAAGTGCTCCTGGACAAGCCGTACCACTTCATGATCATCGGCCTCGGCCAGTCGTTCGAGAGACGATTTTTTGACGACATTCGTGAAGTAGAGGAGATACTCTCCATATTTCGGTTCGCGTAATTCATCGATCAGGAGCTGGATAGATTCGGGTGACGGTCTGACGAGGCAGAGGCACCTCAGGTGACGCATTTTCTCCCTGCTGGTGTTGTCCAGACGATCGATGAGATAGACCTCGTGATTCAGTAACGTCGATTGAGTAACGGCTGTTGACACAATGGGCACTGTTTCCCTGTCTAGTAGAAGGACTTTCATTTTAGCAGATTGGCTAGCGTGAGAGCCTTCGCCAGATGAGATGATGCGGGACACATAAGTGCCTACCGCTTGTGCAACGTCCATGCCGACGAAGGGCAGGCGACGATGGCGCACGGCAGCGAAAGCTCGTTCCTCGAATGTCTGCTGGCAAGGCGCGGGGTGTGTGCCTGGGAATAACAGGAAGCCTCTATGACTGAACTCGAAGCTTCAGAGCAGGGTGGTAGGAGTTGACGTTCCGATGCTTAATCGTTTCAGCGTTTCGAGTACGGTGAATGATAGGAATTATTACGGGATAGCTTAGCGAATATGTTCGTTCAGAAAGGTCTTTGATCCACAATCGAGACTGAGCAGGCTTGCGTCTTGGGGTGTGAACTTGACTACGTGGTTGATGACTTAGGTTCGTTCGCTCACTGGGAGGTGTTTGATGACGAGTGGCCCGAACTGATGGACCAACACAACCACAAGCTAACAAGCCTGACACGAGCCGAAGACAGGTTCCCACTTATCTGGGTAGGTACCGTACTAGGCACCCTAGGTACCTACGTCGTGGGGGTACTCAGGTGCTTACTTCTGCCCCCAATTAGGAGCCTAGATTCCCTTCTTAGAAGCCTCCAACTCGCCATTAGTCATCCAGCGCATAGAATGTGTCTACCATTAAAATGAGTGTCTACCTCAAGTAAGGCAGGGAGTGACTCCATCAACCCAGTTCCGTGCTGTCGAGTCGCAATACAGTGTTCGAAGCCCTGCGACATGGTTGATTTTCGCTGCCAAAATACAGTTGATACGGAAAACATACTAGTCCCTTGTGTTCATGTCACACCTTTCTTGACACCCTCACAACCCCAAGCACACAGCAAAAGTCCATCCACATATAAAACCCGTCGAAAACCAGGGCAAAGAATTGCCTAGGCGTCCAGACCAAGTGGCGGCCTGTGAAAGTTAACCCGAGGCTTTCAATCGATCAACAAGCAACAAAATGGCCGGCAAGACCTGCCCCGCAACGAGTGAACCAACGTGAGTGTACCTGTCCCCTCTGTTGGTTCTGTTGAACTGACAAGCCCGAATCGAAGCTTGTCTTTTGCGCAAGGTCTCGTGTTAGGCCAGCTGTCTGTCGTGCTCGTGCTCGCAGCCTTCATCAAGTTTTTCATCTTCGGGGACCCACCATCCCCCGAAGTTACAGCTTCACTGCGAGCCACCGAGCGGCGGTCAAAGACACTTGCTCACAAGAAGTCCCTCCTGGGTCTTCGGGCCGCCACTGGCCGTCCCGGCCAGCCAGCATTGAACAAGAAGAAGTCAAGTGTCCTGAGGAGCCCATATAACCTAACTATCGGGTCCATCCTGAGCAAGACATACTACAATGTCGACAGTCATCAGCCTGAGAGCTTGGATTGGTTCAATGTGCTCGTAGCTCAGACCATTGCCCAGTTCAGAAGCGATGCGCAGCACGACGACGCCATTCTCAGTTCCTTGACCAAGGCTTTGAATGGGACATCGCGGCCCGATTTTGTCGATGAGATTCGCGTCACAAAACTCAGCCTCGGCGAGGACTTTCCTATTTTCAGCAATTGTCGCATTATACCTGTCGACGAGGACGGCCTGAGTCTAGGCAACGGCAAGACGATCGACGCAAGCGCCGCCACTAGGGAAGGGGCCAAGCTACAGGCGCGGATGGACGTCGATCTCAGTGATCTACTGACCCTGGCTCTGGAAACTAAGCTGCTGCTTAATTATCCCAAGAAACTAAGCGCAGTGCTGCCAGTTGCGCTCACCGTCTCCGTCAGACGCTTCAGCGGAACACTGTCGGTTTCCTTCATCCCCAGTAACCCATCCCAGTCTACGCCGACCATGATGACCTTCAACTTCCTTGACGATTACCGACTTGATTTTTCTATCGGGAGCTTGCTCGGGAGCCGGTCCAAACTAGAGGACGTGCCAAAAATTGCGCAACTCATCGAGGCCCGCTTACACCGTTGGTTTGACGAGCGATGTGTCGAGCCCCGATTTCAAGAGATTGCACTGCCAAGCTTGTGGCCTCGAAAGAAAAACACGAGGGGTCCTGACGATGGAATGACAGAGGGAAACATCGGCTCTGTGGGGAGATCCAAGGGCCGGGACGTGGGCCAGGACATCCGGGCAGAGGCTCGCAAAGAGGTTGAGCTGAAGCTAACAGTCGTACGGACCGAGCACAAGAGACGCTTCTGCGACGGAGATTGAGAAACGAGGATGAGCTCGTCATACCGGGGTCTCTCTCAGACTTTGTGTAGTTATAACTTCTCCAAAAGAGCAAACGGAGTGTGCACATGAGTAGCGCAGATAGAGCGTGAATTATCTCCAGACACCATCGCTGCGTGTCTTCAGGGCATGTCCACCACGCTTTTTGAACTCACTGTCAAGGCCATGAGGTTCGACCACCAGGCCCAGGCCCCAGCCAATAACATGAGGTAGTAAAAAGCGGACCAGAGGCGACAGGCATTGGCCGCTCGCGCGTCACTGTGTGAAATCCAGTATGGATCGACAACGCCCCAGAAGCGCGGGAGACCCATGGCATTGCAGAAAGCATGGACGAGGATGGCAGCAAGGAGGCTGCCTGTGCGGAGGAACAGGAATGTGGCGTAGGCACCGAATAAGGTTGTGTACGAAAACTGCAGAATAGTGCGGGCAATGGCCACGTGCAGAGGCACGCGAGGATGGGTGATACGAAACTCGTAGAAGTGGTGGATGTGGGCCATGCCGAAGATGATTGGGGACAGAAAAATCGTCTTATAGATGGAGAGATGAGCCGCAAGGAATAGTGGTACGGACGCTGACCGAAAAAGCAGCTCCTCTGTGGAGGGGCCCTATGAAGCATCAGCTGTTTGATGTAACTTAATGGAAGAAGGATGAGCGAAGCGCGCGCCCGGTGAGGGAGGGCATACAATGACAATGTTGCGCCATGTAGTCCAGGATTGCCAGACGTCAATGATGGTGCGCGTGCTCACCAAGTCCTTCCAGGCGCCGTCAAGTACGAGCGTTTCGAACAACGGTGCGCTGAAGAGGATGGCGGTCAGGAGTACCGAGCTGGCGGCTTCCGTGACCCCCAGTGGCCAATAGCCCATGGCGTGGAGCGGGTCTATGGCGAGAGCATAGTTGCGATGCAAGATGATGAAAGTGCAAAAGGAACACAGGGCAGTCGAGCACAGAACAGATTTGATGCGAGCGCGGATAACGCGGGGGTCATTCCGCAGCAGCTCAGGCGATGGGCGGGTGTCTGATGAGGCATACAGAGGCGACACGTATGCCAGAGTGTATGCAAGCTACGGCGAGGACATAGTTAGCCAGTCTCTCGGTGCCACCAGGAAGCTAACACGCAGACAACAGAGACACACAAGGAGCGCGAAAGCGGTCGTGGGATGAAGCACAGCGTCTGTAGTCGACATCTCGGCTTTGGCCTCAGCTTCAACTGCCTCAGCGCGCTTTGCGAATATTGTAGAAGAGCAGAGCGGACGGCAAAGGCAACAATAAGTGCGGCCAGGTCATATGTTCGTGGAATCGGTACTCGAGGTGGAAAACGCGGAAAGAGAACTTGAGTTTCTGTTTGGTGAGCACTGCAAATTGGTGCAGGTGAAGAGGGGTTCCCGCTATGTGTCGGCGAGCTCTTCCTTTGTGACACTTGAGCCGGGGGCTCGCGATGATCCGTTTGCCTGGGACAATGCCTTGAAGTTGTGGCTGTAGTGACGGTGAACAAAGATGGCTCAGTTCCCTTCCAAATCAGAGCCCCAAGACGACATACGAATACACACATAACCCGCATAACGTCATATGTGTAGACATGGCGGCGCCAAAGCAGGCTGGGATGACCCCGCTTGATAATATTGGCCAATCTGTCTTGTGAGGAACCATCTCATAAGGCCTGCCAACTCACTCATGCTTGAAGGATGAGCCCGGTTCTCGAGGGGCTGCCATCTCATCTCGTCATCGGACAAGTGCTTCGAAACAATCAAGGTATCACAAGCTGTTCCCTGCGATGGCCAACTTAGCCTCCCTTCATCAGCCGCGCCAGACCTTTGTGCTAGGCCTGATGCCAGGACTGGCGGCCGGGCGGGCTGGGTCGTGGGAGACCCCGCGCCTAAGTAAGAGAGTAGCGGTCTTGGTTCATCAGAGCTCCTGTCATGCGGGTTGATACGAAGCGGCGTGACCGATGCATCGGTTGGGTAGCATTTTGTCATCGATCAAGCGGCAAGCTGTTTGACAACCCCCCTCGGCGCCTCCGTCTTTCTTCCTCCCACCTTTCTTTTCACGGGATTGGCGGATCCCGTTGCGGCAGAGCAAAGGGAGCTCTGGCTTTCTCCTTGCAGCCGTAATCTGACGTCGGCATCTAGGCACAACCCGCACAGAGCCTATTGTCTTTGGAGCCAGAAAAAAACATTGAGCAAGAGACGCGACACGAACCCGACGCGCTGGCTAAACTCCATTGAGGCTCGAAGCGATTGGTCGGTTTGTCCACCCAATCCAAGCTAGGTACACGCTGCGAGGTTCAGGGGGCGGGACCTCCCCCGTCTCCAGTCTATACCCACCCGCCCACTTGTCTTTGCTGCTGGAAAGACACACATACGGTCCGCAATCTCGGTGTTTTTACCATGGTCCAATGCTGGAGCTCTT